CTTTCTGGGGCAAGACAGACTTCCCTTCAGAGTAGAAGAGGTAGTTGCTTGCAGGACTGGGATCAGTGTCTGTCTGAGCTCCAAACAGTTTAAGAAAGTTTTAAAGAAATGAGCCTTTGTAGCTGCTACTGTTTCTGCTTGCTTTTGCTTATTTTTTTTTTCAAAGCAAACCATTCGTATATTTAACATTTTTTTCTTTAAATTATAACATGTTCATGGCAAAAAAACCCCAAGAAAACAAAAAAACAAAAAACAAGCAGCACAAAAGGTATAAAATGAAAAGTCCCTTCCCCCCGAATTTCCAGTTCTGGTCCCATTCTTCAGAGGTAACTAGTCTCGGACCGTTGCTTATGTTGCATTCCAGAAATTATCTAGGCATGTGTAAGAATTTACATATTTATTTAAGGGGCACCTGGATGGCTCAGTTGGTTGAGTGTCCAACTTTTGATTTTGGCTCAGGTCATGATATCAGGGTGGTGGGGTCAGGTTCCTGCTGGGCATGGAGCCTGCTTAAGATTCTCTCTTTGCCTCACCCCTTCCCTCTCCCTCTCTAAAAAAAAAAAATAATAATAATAATTTACGTATTTAAACTAATGAGATCCTACTATATGAGCTGTTTTTTTTTTAATTGAGTTCTTAGGTTATCTTTATATAGCAACACATATAAATTCTGCCTCCTTTTCAGTGGCTCCATAGTATTCCATCTTTTTTTTATGATTTTATTTATTTATTTGACAGAGAGCACAAAGCAGGGGGAGCAGCGGAGGGAGAGGGAGAAGCAGGCTCCCCACTGAGCAAGGAGCTGACATGGGGCTCGATCCCAGGACCCTGAGATCATGACCTGAGCTGAAGGCAGATGCTTAACCTACTGAGCCACCCAGGCGCCCCCATAGTATTCCATCTTATACTTGTTTTCCAGTATAGTTAAATGATGGTCATTTAGGTTATTTTTTGTATTTGGTGTTTCAAACAATGGTATAATTAACATCTATATGCATAGATCTTGTCAACTTGTATGAGTTTACATGTGGAATAAATCTCTAAAGACAAAACTGTTGGCACGAAGTGTATGTGCACTTAAAATTTTGATAGGTACTTCCAAATATCTACACTAATGATGGGAGTCCTGTTTCCTTATATCCTCATACCATTGTCAAGGTTTCTTTTAACTTTTACTGTTTGATGGGTAAAAGTGATACCTTGTTATTATTTAAGCAGTTTTATTTATTTGTCTATTTATGTATTTTAAAAAATATTTATTTGAGAGGGAGAGGGTGAGCGAGAGAGAGAGATCACGAGCAGGAGGACGGGCAGAGGGAGAAGCAGACTCCCGGCTGAGCAGGGAGCCCGATGCGGGACTCGATCCCAGGACCCTGGGATCATGACCTGAGCTGAAGGCAGACGCTTAACCGACTGAGCCACCTGGGCGCCCTGTTTAAACAGTTTTAGGTTGTGGTTCGTTTGACAGTGGTTTAGTCCATAGCATGTGTTGCTAGCAGCTCTCTTGGTAGGTTGGCTGCACTGAGCCCGTCAGAATAAACCATGCAGTCATGGGTCAGGAGTCTGGTTTTCACTGGCATTGCTCTTGCATATTTTCATCATCGTCTTGCTTTTCAGAACTTGTGCAATGGGAAATTCAGTCTGGCCCTTGAGATAGCGCGTGTGGGGAAGTGATCAGTGCACCCTAAATCACAGTGCAGATCTTAGACGTCGTTTTTTCTCGATCCCAGAGTGTGGATTTCTAACTGATGGGCGTTTGCTGGCTCTGAATGCCATTGCACCCTGTTTTCCTGGAGATCAGGGTGTCCTTCTCTGCCACTGTCCTTTGTCCTCACTTGACTTATGAAGGAAGCAGGGGTGAATCTCGCCTCCCCTTTAAGGAAAGGTCAGCGGAAGCCCCAAAGAAGTATGTGGCCTGCTCAAGGTGGTTCAGTGGGCAAGGCGGGAGGAGAGCTGAGCCCCCGCTGGTCGCTACCGGTGCCGGCTCCTGCGGTGTGGAGCAGGGGAGGATCTTGGCCAAGTGATCTAGCGCCTGCTTCTCCAGGGGCCTCTGCTTTCTGAGCTTCCCATCACTGCTCATCCCCATGCCTGGGAAAGGAGCTTGTCTCCTCTTTCAGCTCCCACTAGTGGTTGTGAGGGCAGAGCTGCAAGCAGGGGAAACCACACGGTCGCTCTCTTCCCTCCTGCCCCCCCAGGGCCTGCATACATGGTGCAGGGGCTGTTGGCAGGTGCTTGGACTACTTCCTCCGCTGATCCCAGCTGGCGTTCTCAGCTCCTCATTCCGCTAAAGCCCAGAGAGCTGGTGGCTCCCCTGGAGTTCTGTCCTGGGCTTGGGGCTCTGGCTGGAACTTGTCCCTCCGCTGGACCAGGAACACCCACAGGCCTCCACCGCAGAAGCCAGGGCCTTGTGATTTGGTGACCCCAAGCTGGCTCTGTGGAAGGGGCAAGGACCAACCTCAGGACAGAAAGAGCCCGCCTCGCCTGGTGTTAGAAGGACTCGGGCACTTGCTCTTTCTGACTTCACCCTTGTTTTCTCTTAGCTGTTGAGCTGGGCTTTGCTTCCAGGTCCTTAATTTCCCTGTCTGTAAAATGGGCACTGCATGAACTGGGCCCTTGTGTAGGTTGCAGAGTTAGTGGGGCAGGTTTGATCTGGTGGTCAGCACTTGCCGATGCAGATCATCCTATAGAACACTGACTGATGCCTCGGTCTCTGGCCTCCGACCTAACTCGGCCACCGTTGTGCTGGGCAAATTTTGTCAAGTTCCTTGAACTTTCTGTGCCTCAGTGTCCTCATCTATAAAATGGGGGTAACAATGGTATTATCTCAGAGGTGGTTCTGAGACTGAGAGGAGCTAAGCAGTTAGGTCGGCGCCGCTCATAGTAAACTCCCAGCTACAGGCGCTGCCCTTGGCACCCCCTCCCCCAGCCCCGTCCCCATGGCCTGTCCTTGTCTCTGTTCTGACAGCTTGGCCATCTGAGTCAGCGGAGGTCTGGGAGGAAGCGGGGCTGTGCTTGGTGGGGGTAGGAGGGCTGGCCTGGCTCACAGCATGCTTCTCTTTTCTCTGACTCATGGTCTTTCCCAGAGAGCACACAGACCCCTTGCCACCCCCCCATACAGAAGAGGAACTGAGGGGTCGGAGCAGGGGTGACGGGAAGCTGGGCAGGACAAGGGGAGGGGGCAGAATTGTAAGAGGTACTAGTTATAACAGCTCCCATAGTAGTGCGGGAGCCCTGTGCTGAGTGTTTACATTCATTTATAATCTGGTGAGCTTGGTGGCAGCCACCATATTACAGAGGAGGAAACCGAGGCCTCCGGGGTTAGGTTACTTGTTGGAGGTCACACAGCTCTAAAGCTCAGGAGACTGGAACTGAGGAAGGGAGAGTGGAAGATGCTCTAGATTGGCTCTCACCTCCCTCTAGAGCTCAGAGAGTAAAGTATAAGCCATGTGGGAACCTCCCTTCTCTGCAGGCCCTTACTCTGAGGAGTGAGGAGGGCATGGGTCCGCCTGGACTCTCCGAGGTTCCCGGATCTGAGCGGCTTCCAGGACATCCAGGGTGCTGTGAGTTCTGTGTTCTTTACTGCTGAGGCCGCCAGGCCGTCGCCGCTCCTTGGCCAACGGTCTGAGTTGCATAACTCCTTGTCTTTTGTGGTTACCATGCAAGAGACCAGAACCCCAGGTGGGGGAATCCAGCCCCCAGGTGGCAGCAGCTGAGGCCTTGAAATGTCTGGTCCCTGGGCCGCCCTGCTGACCTCCAGGTGCTTGGGCCTGGGCCTGCATCCCTCGCGGGCTGTGGCCTCTCCCCTAGTGTCCCCCGGGTCCCCCTGTCGGCTGTGAGGGCCTGCGTGAGAGCACCTCTCGGCTGCTTCTTCCCCTAGAATATGGTGATGGGTAATGTGAAAACACGGTCACGTGTGTGGACAGATAAGACTGGATGACAGGTGGTTGGAAGTGCCCCAGCTTGTGGGGGTAACCCCACTTCCTTCTCTCCCACATGAAAGGCGGCAGATGGTGCTCCAGTGATGGGTTCACTAGGAGCTCCCTCTCATTGATAAAAAAGTAAGTAATTTGCAACAGGAATTGTGCTATTAGTGACCTGCATGGTGCCCAGGCCCGGGCTCTCACCAGGTTCTCTCTGTGCCCGGAGCAGTGCTGGGCCTAGAACTGGAGTCAGTGCGGGGAGGGACAGGCTGAGCGGGCCCGCCGGCTCTTCCCACCTGCACTCCTGCACCCGCCGAGCTCTTGATCTTAGTTGGAACTTCCTCAGTGGAGAGTGAGAGGAATCCTACTGGCTTTAGGAATAATGGGATATATACCTGCCTCTTATAGGCCCGGGGCTTGACCGGCTCCAGGAGTTTTGATGATGTCCCGAAGACCTGCTCTTTCTCCTGTTCCCGCCCTTGCTCTCCTCTGTTCTGTACGTCCATCTTGTGGTTTAGCAGCCTAGGCAGGAGAGGGGGTGTGCTCTGGGAGTGAGGTCCACAGAGTTCTGCCCACTTCCGAGTGAGTCAGTGCAGCCAGCAAGGTGGGCACCCTGGTTAGTGAGGCTGGCCAGGTGCTCCCTCTGGGCGTGCATGGAGCACAGAGCTGTTTTACCCAGAGGGAGGCCAAATGGACGCAGGGCAGGCAGGACCCCAGGTGTCCATGCTGTCTGCTGAGCATCTCCTGGGTGTGGGGTGGGTGCAGTGTGGGGAGAGGTCTGGGTGTGGAGCGGACATCTAGCGGGAAGCCAGTAGTCTGATGCAACCCCAGAGGGTGGGCCACACCATCCTTCCTTTCCTGGTGAAGGTGGGGGCGGAGGATGCGGCCGAACCGAGGGCCACCAGGCTTCTGCCGAGAGGCCAGCTGCCTTAGAGGAAAGGACCCCATGCTTGGCACTCACAGACCGGAACTGGGCCAGGCCCTGAAGCTGTTCCAGCGGCCCATCTCGGGAGCCACCGGCCACCCACGTGGCCTTCCCTGCTATGGAGGAGTCCAGAAAATAGAAATGCCTGTGCCCAGTTTATGAAGACCTGAGGTATAAGCTCGCCCTGGAGTTCCCCAGTGGCTACCCTTACAACGCGCCCACGGTGAAGTTCCTCACACCCTGCTACCACCCCATTGTGGACACCCAGGGGAATATCTGCCTGGACATCCTGAAAGACAAGTGGTCTGCCCTGTATGATGTCAGGACCGTCCTGCTGGCCATCGAGAGCCTGCTAGGAGAACCAAACATTGATAGTCCTTTGAACACGCATGCTGCCGAGCTCTGGAAAAACCCCCCAGCCTTTAAGAAGTATCTGCAAGAAACCTACTCAAAGCGGGTCTCCAGCCAAGATCCCTGACTGTCCAGCCTCTCTCTTTGTGCTGTCTTTTTATTTTCTCCTTAGATAGTCTTTCTCTTCATTTCTGTCTAGGACTCTGTATCTTAAGCTGTGGTGTCATCTTTGTTTTGTTTCTGTTTTTTAAATTAAGTCTCTGGTTGAGCCCTTGTGATGAGTATATTAAATAAATACATTGGGTTTAAAAAAAAAAATGCCTGTGCCCTTTGCTCATGACCTGGGGTAGGCCCCGCCCATCTGACACCCAGAGTGGCAGTGGGCCCTGAACAGGAAGCTGTGGGGAGGGTGGGTCAGTGAGAAAGGCCACGGCAACTGTATTTCCCTTTCTCCACTGCTTGAGGGCAGGGCACAGGCCCGGTGCCCCACCTGTGGTCCCCTGCACCCTAGCCCGTCCTGGCGCATGTGCCACACCCTTCCTTGGGCTGTCATTAGTGAGCACCTGCTGTGTGCCTGGCACGGGTAGCACAGGTGCATGCAGAGCTGAGGGCTAGCCTTGACTTCCAGTGGGAAAGAAACACCCTCGCACACGTGGGCTACCCACCTGCCCCCACTCTTGCCAGCATGAAGGGTGGCCCTGCTGACCTCTGTCTGGACACTCGAGGGTGTCTGTGCCTCTGCATGTGTACGTGTGAATGCACCTGTGGGCATGTGTGCTGCCTGAGTGTGTGTCTGGGTGTGTGCACGTGGGTCTGTATCCCTGCGTGAGCCTGTGTCTCATGGGGAGTTACAGAGACACGAGATCTACGTGCAGGTGTCTCTGTCGAGGTCTGTATGAACTTGCATGGGAGTGTGCAGTGCGTGTGAACTTGTGCATGGGTGTCTAAGGACACTGTGAGCACACCTATGTGCACCTGTGGATCCTGTGCGTGTATACATATGCACGTGTGTGTGCCCCTGTGAGTGCATGTGTACTCATGCCCACGAGTGTGCAGGCGTGGGGCTGGTTCGTCTGATGTGTGCTGAGCCCCGGTGGAGCAGGAAGGCAGAGGTCCTGTCTTAGGCAGCCCTAGGGAGTGGGTGTGAAGGGCATGTCTGCAAGGCTCCTGAACCTTCCAGGAGGCTCTTTCCCTCACAGGCACATTGGTGTGTGCCTGTGCCTCACCGTCCTGTGGGTTCTGGGAGGCTGGGGCTGTGTGGGACTGAGCTGCCAACTTGGGCTGTGGTGCAATCTGCCAGCCGAGCCCCTTCCGGAGCTGCGGGTTCCTCTGGGTGTAGGGAAGCTGCCCTCTGAGAACTCCCCTGCTGGCAGTCCGGGGGCCTCTGGGAGGGCAGGACACACTACCCAGCCGTGCAGCCTCACCCACAGGAAGTGCTGGGGTTGGGGGGCAGGCAATGGGGGAGGGACCGCGCTGGGTGTCCCACGCTATGCTGGTGGCCCCACTGACCCGGCTGCGCCGCCACGGCCCTTTGGCCAACAGCCCCGGGAACATTGCTGGGACCCGGGGCCTGGCGGCTACAACCATGTTTCGCAGGAAGCGCAGTGTCTCCTTTGGGGGCTTTGGATGGTAGGTGATGAGGGAGAGCAGCTGAAGGGATGGGAGTGAACCTAGCGGGGAAGCCCTGCGTCTGCTGTGGCCGCCCGTGGGAGCGGAGGGATCGGGCTATGCCGGAGGCCTGGGGGGGGAGCGCATTTCCCGTGCTGCGGCTGGATGGAGATGGAGGGGCTACCAGATGCCAAGCTTTTCCTCGCTGTCCCTGGAGTAGGATCCAGTGAGCAAGCCTGTGCGGCTGGGGTTGAATGTGTGTGTCTCGTCAGGTGTTCCCGTGTGTGTGTAGTGCATCTGTGATGATTGTGGCTGCGTGTGTGGGCGGCATGTCTGCAGCTGCCCATCTGGGCGCCCGTATACATACGAGGTGCGTGGCTGGCTGCATAGGTGTGTTAGGCGTGTGACTACGTGTGCATTTCTGAGCAGGTGTCTGCACCCCTGGTCTTCCATAGCTTTGTGTGCCCTTGTCCGTGTGTGTGTGACTTTGTGATGGGGGCATCTGTGGCCCACTGGAGATTTGGGCTGCCTCTGCTGGGGGGTGAGCTGTGAGGGGAGGGGCAGGCCTGTCTGCAGAGGTGCCCCCCTCCCCAGCAGCCCATCCCGGCTCTCTCTCAGCCTGAGCCGCTGGCTTTGTGCTCCAGCCTCTTGCCTGGGCCTCGAGGCGACTCTTGCCACTAAGCTTCTGTGCAGGACAAGGGAGTGGCGCTTCCCTCCCCCGGGGAACCAGAAAATGGGGAGACCGAGGTCAAAGACTTGTCTTCGGTTACCAGCTGCTGACAGCTTCCCCTCAGCTGGGGAACAGGGTCTAGTGGTTTTCATGATCGGTTTCCTTTCAGCTTCTGGGCCTGGGGCGTTGTCAGAGAAAAGGTTCCCACCACCGCAGGGAGGTGGCAGGGGGAGCCCTGGTGTGGAGGCTGGTGGGCTGACTGGTGGGCACCCAGGCAAGGGAAAGAGGGAGGGGCCGCAGGGGCCTGGAGGAGGTGGGCTCTGTCTGCTCCTCTGGCTAGTTACGCTTCTGCCTGTGTGTAGCCGTTGACTTCCCTTTCCCTTCTCTCTGCAGGCACTTTGCCTTCCATCCTCTGGCAGGAAGGAGTTGTGGGTGCTGCATGTTTGGCAGCTGGGGAGAGTGAGGATGAGATGGTGCTAGGGCTGGCACAGTGTGGCCTGGTGCCTGCTCACGGGCCCTCCCTGACACCCACCCCGGGCCAAGGGATTGCTGTGCTGAGTGTGGGCTCTGGGTTCGAATCCGGTCAGGCTGGCTGGGATTGCTACAGGGCAGGGCTCGGCCGAGAGAGGGTTTCCCCTAAGAGCCACACTCCTCTGGGAGCCGGGTGGTGGCGGCTGGGGGACTGTGTGTGGCACATTGCGCATGCTCAGTCCATGCTTATGGAATGACTGAGTGCCCACGACAGGCATTTGGTTAGGGGCTCATTGAGTTTGAGGGGATGGCAGGGCTTCCTGGTGGGGTTGGAGGGTTAGAGTAGGCATCATCTGGAGACGGCTGTCAGCTGGGAGGGTTGGAGACTAAAGTGCAGATTCCTAGAGCCCTGGTCCACTCCAGATGGTGACCAGAATCTCAGGGCCTGGTATTCTAGAAGCTCCATTGGATGCCAGGGTGGAGAACCAGTAGCATTAGGGATAGACACGTGAGGAGAGGGAATGGGGTGGGGCAGGCGGGCAGTGGGGAGGAGAGGGAAGGCGCCAGGGAGAACCTAGGGAGTTTGGCTTTCTGAAAGTGAAAAGCCCAGTGTCTCCGGCTGCCTGCCGCTCTTGTCTCTGGTCTCAGTCCTGCCGAGGCCATCGGCCCCGCCCTCCCAGGGCCACACCCCAGTGTGGGACCCTGCGGACAGACTGCTGGCTAGTGTGGGTGTGGGTGTTGGGCCAGAGACTGCTGTGACCCACAGTGCCACCCAGTGGTGCAGTGGTTGGTTGAGAGGGCGCCGCACCAGGAGTCCCGGTTCTAAGCGCTGGCTCCACCTTGACTCATTGAGAAACTCAGATAGGATACTTCCCCTCTCTGGGTCTCAATTTCCCCATGGGAAAGTGGGGGATTTCCACCTTATCCACAACGTACGGATGTTGTATGAATTAAAAGAGATTCCTTGGGAAAATATAAAATGTAAGGGCTTGTTGTTAGGTAGCTCTGGTCTACAAATATTGCAGCAGAATGTGGGGATCTGCCCCCTGGATTCACCTTACCCCCATCTGGTGGGCTGAATGGGAGAGGAGGATTATCTGCATGCCAGAGGGATTGGGGGGCCCCATGAGACCCTTGGGGACCAGTTGTGGAGGCTCCATGAAAGGGGCCCAGGATGCAGTGGGGAAGAAGCTGGGAGGGACCTGGGTTGGGAGCCTTGGGGTGTGGCTTGTTTTGCTGCTGAGCACTGAGATCAGAAGGCGTGGGGAGTTTACTCAGAGCGAAAGGATCCCATCTCCCAGCTCAAGGGCTTGGTGCTGACCTGTGATTGCTGGGCCAGCTCTGTGTCCTCCACGCGTGGCCCCTGACACTGCTCCCATCCCGGGGCTGCCCCATAGGAAGCCTGTGGCAAAGCTGAGAGGGGGTGGCTCCTGGAGGGGGTGGCTGAAAGCATCCTGGACGTGGCACTGATGGTCATGCTGACGTGGTGGTGGTGACACGGGGGGTGGTGGTGGTGATGCTGAAGGTGATGAAATGGGGTGGTGGGGATATGGATGGTGATGGAGACAAGGTGGTGTTGATGACATGGGGCTGGTGGTGACACTGGTGGGGGTGACACTGGTGTTCGTGACCCCTAAGCAAGAGGAGACACTGACAGTGGGAATCTCGCCCACTTTCTGTCTCTAGAGAGAGGAAAGGGCCCCTTTTACCAGCCATAAGGGCTGGCATATGCAGAGGGTAAAAATAGAAGCGTAGCAGCCCTGCTGTGTCTTCCAGCAAGGGTGGGTGCAGGCTGGGGTGGAGGGGCTGGGGGCCATACAGTCTGCCGTAAATGTGATCTTCTCTGCTCTGAGCTCCATGCCTGACATCCCACTTGCCCATGCACCCTGGAGCCTGCTGTTGGGTTCTGTCTCAGGTGTGGGGTCTGTCTCCTCATGTAGATTGGCAGCTCCTAGAACGGGGCCGGGGGTGGGGGTGGGGGTCCCCTGGTGCTGGCAACTTTCCAAAGTGGAAGCCCAGGGAGTATCACTGTGTTGAATGTCTAGCTGCCAGTGACTGATGGAGCCGGCTTGCAGAGCTCTCTTGTGGAGGGGGGGTAAGGAAGGGAAATGCTGTCTACACGTGCTTGTGATCTCGGGGTGTGGAGTCAGAACCTGGATTCAGACTGGGCCAGTGATGTGATCCTTCTGAGCCTCCGTTTCCTCATCTCCAAAATGGGAGGAATAGCAGGACCTGCCTCCTAGGGTTATGTGTGGCTCCAGCCCTCCCAGAGCTCACAGCCCTCCTTCCTGGGCTGGAGGAGAGCTCCCCTCTGTAGCGGCTGTCCCCTGCAGGGCCCTGTTGGCTTGGTGGTCTGGATTGGCCAAGGGACCTCCCCT